TTTTGTCAGCAGTGACCAACCTCTACTAGGCCATCAGTCACCAATCACTTGTTGCTACCACAATGCAGGAATAGAGGACAGATGGCTGATGATGCATCGATGGGAAGGGGACAGGCAGAGATGATTAAACAAAAAGAATATTGAAGGGTTTTGGTCCAGTTCACAGACAAGACAATATTATGTATTGTTATATTGTAGATCACCTCCTTATAAATAAAGCTGTTTCAGATACAAGCAAATACAGAAAAGACGACATTACCTTTCCTCTACAAGCGCATATGCAGGCACACAGACTATCCCATGTATCACTATACTACTGTCTTGCAGTAGCACAGCTCACCAGTGGAATATTAACAGAGCAGTTGAATAGACTGCCTTGTAGAGACACTGGTCGTCAGCAGGCCTGAGCTTGTTTACCCACAGCTAGCATACCTGCACCACCAGATTTGTTGCCCAGGGTCACTCGGTGTGTATGTGTGCTGTGGGTGTGGTGTGTGGTTGTGGTGGTTGTGGTGTGTGGGTGTTGGGGTGTCCCGTGACACTGGAGCTAAAAGAGCCTACTGGAGGTGGTGAGGGTAAGACAGATCGGCAGTTGACAAGGTGGTCATATTCTTTGGGGCGGAAGGGTTCTTAAGAACTAAATTATTAGAAAATTTTGGTTGAACGAATTCCGTTTATGAGTCATTGTCACCAAGACGCTGGATATGCCGTAAGGTTTACTAGAGTGTTGAAATTAATCAGAATAATCGATGCGCGAAACTGCTGGCAGCGCGACAGCAGCTTGGAAAGCAGAAACACATTAAGACACCTGGCGAGACCTTCCACCCCAGTTATGTCAATAAGCACTCGACTTGTTTTCATCGGATACTCGCACTTGCGGGTATCACAAGCAGGCCGCTCATTCAGTGGAGCGCGGGGCATTCAGGTAAAGTAAAAAGCGCGAGCCCGTTAGCCTCTCGCTGTACAAGACACCGACACAGGTCCGCAAGTTGGCAACAAAACCATCCCGACAATAGGCCAGAGGAGCTAGATACCTGCCGGCAGCGAGGTTGCGACGGGATGGTCAGCCAATCAGGTAGCGGTGAGAAAGTGCTGAGACACTGGAGGATAGCTGTCCCTCTTTTTTTGTGGGTGTGTGGGTGTGTGGTGTTGTGGTGTGGTGTGGTGTGTGGTGTAGTGGTTCTGCGTGGTTTATTATCGTACTACTTGTATTTTGTTGGATGAAAACAACCATATGATAGGTGAAGTGATAAAAGACTGTATTATACTAACTTGATACAGTATGCTTAATGGCGAGTTTCCGTCAAGTCAGAATATCGCTATATGGGCGTCCGTTAGATGAAAAAAAGAAAAAAAGTTGTTAATTGGGAGAGCATCGTGGATGGCGTCGAGCTCGAGGAATCGCTGACATGATAATCAAATCGGGAGATCAGTGACAATTCACACCTCTAGTAATTACCATATTCAGGTTGCCTTTAATAATATCAAAAAGTAAGACTGTAACAGAAGATTGCCTAAGGTAAAGGTTACTTACTGCTACTTCAGAAATGAGGACATGTTCTGCTAGTGGGACTCAAAGCATCCTGAACTAACTGATAAGGAGTGAATGGCCCAAAATGCTCAAAAACACAGATGCTAGAACTCAACAGAATATCAAAACATTCAGCCCATCTTCTTCTTTATTAGGGTAGTCTTCAATAAAAGATTAAATTACCTTCACTTACTTTAAGCAGTGTTTGCACGCATTCTGACCAGAGATCAACCTGCTCATAGTCTTTCAAGTTTATCTTAAGGTGACATAAGCCATTCATATGCACATTTGTAACCACGTGCTCAGAAAGCACATGCTAAAGTCTACTAAAACTACACACTGGTACTTTAAAGGCTACTGACTGAATGATGTTGGTACCAACGAGTCTCGGTTCATTTTAAATCAATCTATACCAAATGTTGGTGTCTTAGAGCATATCTGGGTGAGAGAGGAAGGTAGAGTGCGTGTAGAGTAAGTATAGAGAGAAACCAGAACTTTCCATTTTATTTCTATTTCTAGGGCTGCCCACTAATAGTTAACTTAATCTTTAATTGCTGAGAAGAGCAATATTAGTTGGATGGTCTCAGAAAAACAAATGAGACTCAGAGATAGAGCAGGTCGTCCACTAATTGGAAGGTTGGTGGTTTGATCCCTGGCTCCACCGGCTGCATGTCGAAGAATCCTTGAGCAAGATACGGAAACCCAAATCGCCCCCTATGCTGTGTCATCAGTGTGTGAAGGGTTAGCTAGTTAGCCGTTAGCAGTCTGGTTTTAATTATCTTTAGTCAGACTCAAAGCTCTAACTAGCAGGCGTTACCTTTTTACAGTCTGCTGTCTCTTTATTTATCTCTATCCATCTCTCTCTCTTTATTGAAAAGTGTCCTGAGATAACTCCTGTTATGAATTGGCGCTATACAAATAAAATTGAATTGAATTGAATTGACATAAGTGGAAGAAGGCAGGGAAGTGTGGAAAATATTACCTGACTCAGCAGGAAACCAGGGTTACAGACACAGCCTTCACTGGGTGGGGTTTTACACTGAATGGATGGAGACAGAGAGGAGCAGCTGATTGGACAGCCAGGAGCTGTGATGCTGTACATACTGTTTGCTGCACACTGCATCCCTGAAACACACACATACAAACACAATATCACTCAGATTGCACACACAAATACAAGGTGATCATGTCACTTCAATTGTGAGCATATGTCTTTGTGAATGTGTGTGTTCTTTCTGTGTATATATAAAGGTGCAAGTAAGTATAAGTAAGCAGATGAAAGCAGGCATACGTCACTTTCCTGTCTTCAGAATGACCACACCACCTTTTAGGTGTGAGTGCCTATTGGCACCATTCCTAAAAGCTGCTGCATCACAGACAAATCAAACAATAAAAAAATACCAGATCATGATTTTCTTTGCTTCCCTAAAGAGCAAAAGGCAGAAAAGAAGAGCTCTGTGGCTTCACGCCATCAACAAAGAGAATAATAATGGTAGGGCACTGGCAGTCACTAATGTGTCTGGGTAAACACTTAATCACAGGTTAGTTAATGATGTTACTGAGTAAATGACACATGTGCCAGTTGTGCCTGTAGATTGAAGCAAATGAAAAAAGTGTCTTTAGTGAAGTTTTGTCTGTAAAAACAACACCCTACTATAAAACACCTGCTTTTAGAATGGAGTTTGGATTGACACTCTATCCACTCAAAAGACCAGACGATATCCTAAGCTTAAATTGAGCTGACCTACCTTCTAATGATGAACCTTGTAAACACCATAAAGTAACATAGGAAGTGGAGATAACACCAACCTGTTATCTACTTCTCTGAGCTCGTACGTCAGGTTCCTCCATTTTGATGGAGACTACCACTGTTTTTATTATTTACTTTTTTTCCCTATATAACAAAGCCAGCCGTTAATCAGCAAAAACATAACATAACTGTTTGCCTGAGAGGCTATATGATTTGGGCTCCTAATAGCTAAAAAACAATACTGTATTCCCTTTTTTATGCAATTAAATTTGCATTTACCACCAGTCAAATTAGGACTGCTTTCAGCAAAAAGGGGACGCAAGGACAAAGTGCTTGGATGGGCTGCTCTCATCTATACTTCATCAGAAGTGCTTGTCAGATGGTGGAACAACTTTAGAAACAACCCCCCTCTCTTAAAAGCAAATTTTTAATGTGGAAAACTAGTGCAACATTATGGATGTCTTCCATCTGAAAATGTGCAATATCCGCCCTCTGTATGACTAGGCTTTTCACCCTACCTTCATGTGTGACTGGGGGTCAGGTCACGTCAGAAAGCAAAAGTTACTACAGACAGGTCTGACAACCCTTCATACAAACTTGTTAATTTCGTGTACAATCTGGCCCTTAGTACAGCAGAAGTCCAGGAATTGTGTGTACTGGTTATGTAAATGTACACGTGTGTGCAGGTTTGTAGCTGCATGGACATTTTACTGACTCAGCATACATATCTGACCTGCCTGGCTACAGCTGTGACTGTGGCAGCGATAAGCACACCTGGAACCTTCCTGTCATGAAATGAAGGTGGCACTTAGTTGAGGGTGATAAAGAGACTTAAGATATTTGAATGCCAAGGTTTAATTTAGAGATGTTTACAGTTTTCCTCAGTCGCTTTGGTGCATTTCTCAGACATTTGCACAACAGTTAGTTCAACCTCCACAACATT